TTCTCTCTAGTCCAAAGCCCCCTCTTTGAGTTTCAAACCATCCCCTCTTGTCCCGTCCCAACCTGCCAGGCACAAGCACGCTGGGGATGGGTTTCCAAGAGCCCCGTGCAGGTTCAGGTGTCCACCAGCCCCCGTGGGGCCAGGAGAGCCCAGCACCACCCCCCAGTGAGATCCCCCAACAGTGGGAACAGACCTGCTCGCCTTTGGCCCCCGGGTGACCCTCCAGTCCTGGCTGTCCTGGGGGTCCCTGGGGAGGAAACAGAGCCCAGCACCTTCACCCTGCGTCCCACACACCCTCTGGCTCAGCAAACACCAGCCTCGACCTTCTGGTTTAGCCTGGAGAAGGCAGTGGGGGAGGCTGAGGCTGGAGCAGCCCCCCGTGGGCAGGAGAGGGCTGCCCAGCTGCTGTACCTGCTCACCATCCAGCCCGGAGACTCCGCTTCCCCCAGGATCTCCCACGTCACCCTGCCAGAGGACAGACAGACGTCAGGACAGGACGTGAGGGTCCTCCCTGCGGGTTCCCTGCTGACCCAGAGCCCCCAGGAGAGCTCGCAGGGCTCTTCTCCCACCTCACACCAGCCCTGCCAACCCCCAGCCCACGGGGCAAAGCCAGACTGGGAGAAGTGCTCGGAGAAGAAGCAAGCACAGCAAGCAGAGCGAGGCCAAGGCTCCATCTGCCTGGGCAGCTCTCAACTCTTAGGGCCAGCAGGAGGAACCGACCCAACCCCTCTGTCCTCACCTTCTCCCCTCTCCTCCCTGCAGGCCCTGTGGGTCCACGGGGACCTTCCCGGCCCTGGAAACAGAGAACCCCTATCAGCAGGAGGGCTCTGCAGCTCCTGAGCGTGGGTGGCAGAGGTGGGGATGCTCCACCACGTGACATCCCCATGGACAGAGAAACCACGCACCAGCTTCTCGAGACCCCTTGCACCAGCTTCCCTTTTCCTTCCCTTCCCACAGGTGCTTTGGGGAGCTCCCCAAAATGCTGCAGCAGAAAGATTCTTGCCCCGTGTGCACTCACCGGGTACCCAGGTGGGCCAGCAGCTCCAGGAGCTCCAGGAGCCCCTGTTTCTCCTACCAAACCAGGCTTCCCGGGGACACCGTCCAACCCCCGCGTACCAGGAGCACCCTGCAAAGCCAAAAGGCCCCTGAGGCACCCCAGAACTCAGCCCAGGGTGCAGCTCCAGGGAGGACAGGGCTGGTGGGAGCCCTGAGCCTGAAGCAGTTGGGCCACCATGGGGTCTGCAAGGTACCACCTGGTGGAGCTGGGTGCCTCATCCCTCCAAGTGCAAGGGGGGCACCGCTGTCCCCACACCCCAGTTGTCACCACCCAGCCACCCACGCAGGGTTTGGGTCGTTTCCTGCCCCACAACCAGCCTGGGGATGAAGCTGCCTCCAGAGTGGGCACCTATCTATCATCCCCTCAGACATCACCCAACCTCAGCCTGCTGAGCATCTCTGGAAGCCCACTTACAGGCAGCCCTGGAAGCCCTGGAGGACCTGGCTCTCCTGCTCTGCCCTGCAACGAGAAGGGTGCTCAGCAGCGTGGTCCCAGCACAGAGGGGGACACCTCAGCAGTGTCCCTGCAGCATGGGGACAAATCCCAGCCAGCGAGGGGTGGGAGCAGGTCCTGCTGGCTCCCACCAAGGGCTCCAGGCTGCCCCAGGCAGAGGCAGCACGTGGTGTGGACCTGTCGCAGAGCCGGGGAGCACAGCGAGTCCTACCTGGGAGCCAGGAGCACCTCGGGGACCAGGGGGACCTGGCAGGGCCTGGGGGAGGAGAAGACCATCAGAGCCTCACCCCCCAGCCCCGACTGCTCCCCTCGGTGCCCGTTGCAAAGGTTTCCCATTTTTTTCCCCACTCACCTTGGGACCAGCTTTTCCTGGGAATCCTGGTGGGCCCTGGGCTCCTGCTTCTCCCTGTTGGGAGGCAAGAAGGATTTCCTTTCCTCCTGCTTGGCTGCAGTAACCTCTTAAGGAAAAAAAACCCAAACGAAACCAAAAAACCATCTGCTTGACATCTTCTAACAAGCCCTAGGAGCTGGAACAAGCAGAGGAAGTGCTGGAGAACCACCAGTTCATCCAACATGGAAGCCACAGAACTACAGAAGAGTGGGGGCTGGAAGGGACCTCTGGAGATCATCTCATCCCACCCCTGCTCCAGCAGCTCACCCACAGCAGGGTGCCCAGGAGCACATCCAGGCAGGGTTGGAATCTCTTCCGAACCTCTCTGGGCAGCCTGCTCTGGGCTCTGCCACCCTCACACCAAAGAAGTTCTTCCTCAGTGGCCATCTCCAGCCGCTCTCCTCCTGCCATCCCTCCAACCTCCCTGGCAGCTGGCTGGAGACCCTTCACAGACGCCCCCCAAACCATTCCGTGGGTCCAACAGCCCAACCTGAACGTGTGCCCAGAGCCTGGGCAAACCCAGACACGTGCCCTCGCTGCTGAGCTGGACTCCCAGCCCTACCTTGTCACCCCTGTGCCCCGGCCTCCCGCGGTCACCAGCAGGTCCCGGGTAGCCCTGGGGGGAGCAGGGTGTTAGGAGGCAGCCAGGACATCTCCAGGGGTTGGGGAGAGGTGGCTGTGGAGGGGGAGCTCTCAGCAGGGGAAGGCAGGAGCCCGGGCAGGGTGGTGAGAGCCTGGCTGGAGGCCACCCCACCCCACCCAGGACCAGGCAGCATTGTCACTTACGTAGGTGCCCACAGGTCCTTGGGGTCCCTCCTGGCCAGGCTTCCCAGGTAGACCCTGCCAGGCAGGATGAGGCCATTAACAACCCTCTGCTCCCAGGATATGGGCAGGCATCTTCCCATCCTTGGTGTCCATGTCTGAACCCCCAGGAGCCCCCCAGATCTCCCCATGGCAGCTGAGAACCTCCCAGGGCTGCTCACCACCATCACTGCTCCAACCAGCCCCCTCAGCATACTCAAGGTCCCCTCCAAGCGCCAGCTCTCACCTTTGGGCCAAGGCAACCCGGGTCTCCATCAGGTCCAGGTTTTCCCAGAGAACCCTTTGGAAACATTTGGGGAGGTGTCAGTCCCAAGGCTGGGATGGGATGACCCCCAGTGAGCCACCACTGCTGCCTCCATGCTCGGGGACAGGCATTGCCTGGTCCAGACCAGGTCCTGGGGGCAAACTGCCACCGTGGCCCATCCTGGTGGCTCCTGCACAGCAACACCCCATGGCTGGCTCTGGGAAGGTGGTGGTACTTGACCTTGAGGCCATCACCAAGCCCCAGGCTCCCAGGGAAGAGCTCCTCCAGCTGCAGGAGCTGCTCTGACTCTCCATCCTGCTGGGCAAGGCCATGGGAGTGTCCTCCCCAAACCTCTACCACCCATTTCCACCAGGGATGGAACAAACTCTTTGATCCTCTCCCAGGACCCTGCTGCTGTTCAGCCACCCAGGCCTGAAGGGTTTCCCCAGGCTGCTGTCCCCCATGGAGACCCCACTGGGTAGGGGAAGCTGCAAAGTCCCTCAAGGAGGCTGATTGCCTGCAGAAGAGGTTCTGCCCTTCCCCACCCCAGCTGTTTCTGCCACTGAGGCTCTTTTATGCCTTTTCATAAGAAAAGACTCAGGTCCTGGAGGTGCCCTGATCCCCTGCCTGTTCCCAAGGTCAGGAATTCCCATACACCCCCCCAAGAGGCACCATCTCTGCTGACTTTCCACCCAACAAAGTGCAGAGTTCATGCAGAAGGAACATTTTGGTTTTCCTTACCATGGATCCAGGAGGTCCCGCGTGCCCACAGCCCCCCTGCAAGCCAGCAGAACCCTGGAGGAGAGGGCAGAAGGTGGGAGATGGAGGGAAAGCTGAAGCAGGAGGGATGGAGAGGTTGTCCCCAGCAGGGTGTGGTCCCAGACCACCCAACCCAGCTGGAGCCCTGTGCTGGGCACCCCCAGCACCCATCCTGCATCGGGCAGTCACAGAGGACACAGGGACAGGTCTCCTTGACCTGGAGCAGAAGGGGTTTGGGTTTTGTTTTGATGGAAGTGCCAGATTATTATCTTGATTTTTTTTTTGTTGTTGTTTTCTCTTTTGCATTTCAAAGTTAAACAAATATTAGAAATCTTGCAGAAGGGAAAACTTGCTGCCAGTTCAGGTCTTGCTGCTGGACCTGTCTTGGGGAGGAGTGCTCAGGGTGAGAAATCATTCTGCAGTCATAGAATCATGGAGTGGTTTGGGTGGGAAGGGACCTTTCAAAGTCATCCAGTCCAACCCCCTGCAGGGAGCAGGGACATCTGCAGCTAGAGCAGGGTGCTCAGAGCTCCATCCAACCTCCCCTGGAATGGTTCCAGGGATGAGGCAGCGACCACCTCTCTGGGCAGCCTGGGCCAGGGGCTCACCACCCTCAGGGTCAAAAATGGCACACATTGCCTGCTAGCCCCATGCCCTCTCCTTCACCCTCCAGCACAACCCTCAGCAGATCTCTCTCTGCAGCCACACCCAGAGAACCCTCCTTGGTGGTCTCCATCAGGGCCACCACCTTCACCCCATCCCACGGACAAGCTTTTGAGGCACTTCCCAAGGGGCCAGAGCCGAGCAGAGGGCAGGAAGGACAGAAATCACCCCACCATGCAGCTCTACTCACCGGTGGTCCCCTCCTGCCCGGGCTGCCCACGGCCCCTGGGGGACCCTGCAGGACAAGGCAGGTGATGATGAGGATGGGGAGGAACCCTCTCCCAGTCCCACCACACCAGCCCAGAGCCAGCTGATGCACATCATGGCAAGGTCCACCATGGTGTCAAGGTCCACCATGGTGTCAAGGTCCCCCATGGTCTCAAGGTCCCCCATGGTGCCAAGGTCCCCCATGGTTTCAAGGTCCACCATGGTGTCAAGGTCCACCATGGTTCCAAGGTCCACCATGGTGTCAAGGTCTTGACTTGCACGGCCATGGGGACGGTGGGGTTGGGAAGCCCCCTCCCCATGGGGCTCAGCCCCCACCCCAGCCCTCGCCCCCAGCCAAGTACAGAGTGTAGGATGGGAACCTGTGTACCAGGCTTTCCTTCTGCACCGCCTGCTCCGGGGACGCCCCGCGAGCCCTGCAAGGAGAGTCTCATGTCAGGGAAGCAGAGCCTGGTGCCAGGGTGCCCCCAGCGAGGGCTCGTCCAGCCCCAGAGCCACCCTCCAGTATCAAAAGCTGGTCCCCAGGGTGCTCGTCTGGTTCGTGTGGACCCGTGGGTTCCTTGGTGCCCATCTCACCCCAGCACAGCTCCTGCAGCTCCTCCCTGCTCCAGCCCACCTCGGGATGGGAAAGAACCTGAGTGTGGGAGGAAACCTCCCCCTGTGAGCACCTCGACTGTGGCTTTCCCCTCTTGCCCACGGTATTTATTCTGGCTCCTTTATCACACACACACTGAACAACTGTGTTCTCCAGGAGTTATCTCCTGACTGTTCTGTGCTGGGGGCTCAGGGGGAAGTTGTGCTCTTGGGCAGGTGGTTTGTCCAAACCCTTCATGCAGCACACAACCCCTCGAGCTGCCCGTTGCCAGCTTCTCCTGTGCAAACTCCCGGGCAGAGCCAGACCTTCCCAGCAGGCTGTGCCCCGGGGTGTGCCCCCCGAGGGCTGGCACCACCCCGTGCCACCAGGGCCACGGGGGTCACCTGCTACTTACGGGCAGCCCGGGGACTCCAGCCAGCCCACGCTGACCCGTGCGGCCCTGCCAAACAGAGAGCCATGAGCACAGCAACCCGTGGCAAAGCTCCAGGTTTGGGGGCAGAGCTCGTGCCCCACGGTGCCCCAGCTCAGCCCCAAGAACATCCCCAGCCACCCAGCAAAGGGTCTCCAGGGTTATTTCAATCTCCCGCAGCCAAAGAAGCTCCAAGATGTAGCTACAAGCACCAGCACCCCATTAGTTCATAGAATGAACCCCAGACTGGTTTTGGGTTGGAGGGGACCTCTGAAGGTCACCTCATCCAACCCCCCTGCAATAGGCAGGGACACCCCCATCTAGAGCAGGTTGCTCAGAGCCCCACCCAACGTGGTCTTGAACATTTCCAGGGATGGGGCATCCACAGCTCCTCTGGACAGCCTGCTCCAGGGTCTCCCCACCCTCACGGTGAAGAACTTCTTCCTCACCCCCAACCTAAACCTCCCCTCTCTGGGTTAGTTACCCGGGCTCCCCGTGGTCCTGGGGGTCCCTTCAGGCCGTCAGGTCCTCGCCCCCCCTAAAATCCACACAAAGGACACAGTCAGTTCAGGGAACCCTGCAGGTGCCCCCCAACCTTGGTGAGCACCGAGGGGACTCCTCCAGCCCCTGACATCATGACGCTGTCCCCAGGGTGCTGGGACCCAGGCTGGAGCCCAGGGGCAGGGTGGCTGTGTCCCTGCCCACCACGCCAGGGGGAGGGCAGCCCATGGGGGGCCAGGGGCCAGGGCAGCAGAGGTTGGCACTGACCTTGGGTCCCTCGCTGCTGTTCAGCCCTGATGGGCCAATCTGCCCTTCTTCCCCCTGCCAGGAGAGAGGAGGGGAGAGGAGTCAGCCAGGGCAGGGGCAGCTCTGCCAGAGTCATGCAATTGCTTTGGTTGGAAGAGACTTTTAAGACCATGGAGTCCAGCTGCTAACCCAGCACTGCCAGGTCCCCACTGCCCCGTGTCCCTCACACCACATCTCCACAGCTTGGGAACCCCTCCAGGGGTGGGGACTCCACCACTGCCCTGGGACAGCCCTGGACAACCCTTTCAGGAAAGAAATAGTTCCTCAGCTCCAACCTAAACCTCCCCTGGCACAACTTGAGGCCATTTTCTCTCATCCTCTTGTTTGTCCCTTGGGAGCAGAGCCCGACCCCCCCCTGGCTCCAGGCTCCTGTCAGGAGCTGTGCAGAGCCAGAAGGTCTCCCCTGAGCCTCCTTTGCTCCAGGCTCAGCACCCCCAGCTCCCTCAGCTGCTCCTCCCCACACTTGGGCTCTAGACCCTTCCCCAGCTTGGTTGTCCTTCTTTGACCCTCTGCCTGCTCCCCCAGCCACAGCAGCCACCATCACCCTGCCCCGTGTAGGAGAGAAACGTGGGAGCACGGCTGGAGGTGGCACTAATTCACCCTGTACACCCCAACAGCTTGATTGAAGCTCACACTGCAGGAAAAGCACCCTAGAAATTGTGCCTTGTTCCTGTAGCTCCTTGAGAGCTGCTGTGGGAGCTGGTGGGAAGCAGGACAGAGTCCAGCAGGAGCCAGAGATGCTCAAGAGAGTGACCTGTGAGCCCCGTGCTCTCCAAACCCCTGCCAAGGTGCTGGCCTGGAGCAGGGAACCAGCAAAGGTCTCCCTTGGCTCAGGGAGAGGCAGTTGGGATGTGCTGAGGTCCCCTGCCTAAAGCTGCCCTCTCCTCACCTCCATGAGCCCTCCAGCTAGTTTTGGGTCACTGGTGAGGGCACAGCCAGTGGGGTCTGGCGCAGAGGGGTCACAGCTCTGTTGGTGCTGTGTCCTGTGGTGCTGGGGGCACCTGTGACCCCGAGGATGGGGCTTGGAGCAAAGCTCCCTGGAGCTGAGCAGGGGCCAGTGGTGTCCAAGCAGCACGGAGGGAGATGCCATCAGAGGATTCCCTCAGCCTGCACCAGCATCCACCACCCTGACCAGTTTGGAACAGAATCCCAGACTGGTGTGGGTGGGAAGGGACCTTCCAAAGACATCCAGTCCAACCCCCTGCAGGGAGCAGAGATGTCTCCAACTAGATCAGGGTTCTCAGAGCTCCAGCCAACCTCCCCTGGGATGGTTCCAGGGATGGGGCAGTGACCACCTCTCTGGGCAGCCTGGGCCAGGGGCTCACCAGCCTCAAGATTAAAAATTTCTTCCTTTCATCTGTTCTGAATCTCCCTCTTCTAGTTTCAAGCCATCAGCCCTCATCCTGTCCCAACAGACCCTGATCAAAAGTCTGTCCCCATCTTCTGACAGCCCCCTTGAAGTCCTGGCAGCCCCCAGCAGGTCTCCCCAGCTGGAGGCTTCTCCTCTGTGGCTGCGGCAGCACAACTCCTC